AAATTGTAGAGTGAATTGAAAATTAAAACTAACTGCAGGCCTACGAACTGGACACGCTCTTGTGTCCAACGCATTGCCCGTAAACAACGGTCAGGTCAGCGTCTAGTAATCCTTAATAAAAGAGAGGGACTTTATCAGGTCTAGAATCGTAAACGGAGGTAACTCCGTTACATACTCTACCAGCTGAACTCATAGTGACTCGCCGTGTATTCGCAGTCATCAACACGAGATCATTGGTTGTAATGGTACCAAAATACGAGCTATTGGTAGAGGTGGCACTCGTTGCATTGTTCAATTGCAATCCAAAACCAATTGGAGATGCATTGGATGATTCCATGTATATTGGCATATCATAATTCGATGATCCATCGTTCAACGCATTGCTGCATTTGATATAAACGTTTCCTTGGTTTAACGTAACAGGAGCAGTACCATAGCAAGAGCTATAAGGCGTGTTACTGTTGAACATCATCTTGTTTATTGTATCACTCACGAGGTATAGGCACGCTGATGTTGGTGTATGAGTAGAGCTCGCAACATTGACAGCAAATGCATCAGCAGAAGTTGCAAGAGTATACGTATGCGGATCTCCAGACTTATATGGTTGACTGTTGCCAATGTTGAAGCAAAATCGATGGGTCTGAGATATGAAGCCAACAGCGGACTTGTCATTCCAGCTGATGTTGAATAGATCGGCAGATGTTGCTGAAACGCCACCTACTTGTGCAGTGGGATCAATCGAAGAAACGAGATTTAGAATGGGATATGTTCTATTGGTGCTAGAGGATCCGTACCAATGGTCAGTGGACTGGAATCGTCAACACGATAGACTCGAATACTATCTCTCAAGCTCGTGCTCGCAAAGTATTTGATCTGATTTGTGGTAGCGCTACCGGATCCGAACTGAATCATTGAGTTTGCATTGGTAACCATAGCTTTGCTCGCTGCGACAGAGCCCGGAGTGATACCACTCAGATACGTTCCATATCCCGTTACTCCATTCAAATCTGTTGCCGAGGCTGTGATCAATGTTCCGTTCATGTAAAAGCTGGTGGAGTTGAAAGACCCGCTCACATCAAGTTGATAACCTGGAGAAGATGTATTGATATCGACATTACCTCCACTTTTAATCGAGAGCCTTCTTGTATTATTAGCACCCAGATATAGATCGTTTGCAGTAGTTGATCGAATATCGCATGCACCACCAGCACTTGCAATACCGATGGTGAGCGTGCTTACAGCTGCTGAGTTAGTAAATGAAGCAACATTGCCTCCAGCACTCTGTGTGTGAGTGATACCCGCACCCAAGAGATTCAAACTAGATAATGTGCCAATGCTCGTAATGTTTGGTTGAGCTAGAGTAAGTAAAGTTCCAGTCAATGATGTTGCGCCGAGATAATTTATTCCAGCGACATTACGTTCTGGCTCACGTCCATCCATAGCGCAATTGCATTGCCTGAACAGATACGAAAAGGATGTTGCGCGAATGTTCCAAATCTAGGCGCGATGTTTGACATTTCGAGCACATAGTTCATTGGCGTAGTAAGACTGTTTGTCCAACGCGCATAACTCGCAAATGTAGTTGTGTTGTTGTTGATTGTTGTTTGCAATCCAGTTGTGAGAGTTCCAAGCGATGTAATATTAGGTTGAGCTGCTGTGCTAAGCGTTCCAGACAACGTAGATGCTATCAATCCTCCAGACAAATTCAGAGATGACAATGTTCCAATCGACGTGATATTTGGTTGAGCGGCTGTTTGTAGCGTTCCAATCAAATTGGTGGCTGTCAGATCACAAAATGATGCAATGTCTTTATTCGCATCGACCATAACTAACTTTGATGCTGTAACTGTTCCAGCTGTGATACCAGACAATAAACTGAGATCTACTGCTGATCCACCAATTGTTAACGATCCACAGTCGAGAGCTCCTGCCACCGATAGTGAACTAAAGATTCCAGTTCCACTAAGCTGTTGGTATCTTTTATCGGCCGTGGCGATTGTCAAGTAATCATTAGATCCAAGGAAGAAAGAACTCTTGAATATAAGGCTGTTTATACTCGGTGGTAAAGACATTTTTGGTTGCTTGTATATACAATCACAGAAAGATGATTAACTTCTACGAATCGATAGATAAGAAGAATATCAAGAAAATATGCAAGGAATGGGCAATTTCAGTACTCGGATCTCAAGTTCTTTCCACCCAACGCTACGGATCTCTGTCAACCAGCGGACTCCTTTGTAATTTCCAAGATTAAGGACGCTTGGAAAGCCAAATGGAACGAGAAAAA